AACGCTCGTCTGTCTCGATCCTCCGCCCTCGCCTCCAAGGCTACCGGATACCCTCTTGCATTCATTGCTGCCAAGTTGGGTCTTGGTATCCCCCTGAACGAGATTAAGAACTCCGTCACCAAGTCCACTTGCGCCTGCTTCGAACCCTCGCTGGACTACTGTGTGGTAAAGATCCCTCGTTGGGATCTGAAGAAATTCACTCGCGTGTCTACTCAGCTTGGTTCCTCCATGAAGAGTGTGGGTGAAGTTATGAGCATTGGCCGAACCTTCGAGGAAGCCATCCAGAAGGCCATTCGCTCGGTTGATTTCCACAACCTTGGTTTCAACGAGTCCGATGCCCTCATGTCTATCAAGGGCGAGCTCCAGACTCCCTCCGACCAGCGTCTGTTTGCCATTGCCAATGCCATGGCTGCCGGTTATACCGTTGATGATATCTGGAAGCTCACCAACATTGACAAGTGGTTCCTCAGCCGCCTCAAGGGCCTCAGCGACTTCGGCAAGTCCATGTCCACCTTCAATGCTACCTCCGTGCCTGTGCCTATGATCCGTCAGGCCAAGCAGCTCGGTTTCTCCGATCGCCAGCTCGCCAACTTCTTGGACTCCAACGAGCTTGCTGTGCGCCGCATGCGTGTTGAGGCCGGTATCACACCCATTGTCAAGCAGATCGATACCGTCGCCGCCGAGTTCCCAGCCGTGACCAACTACCTCTACCTTACCTACAATGCTTCCCAGCACGATCTGACTTTCGACGATCACGGTATCATGGTTTTGGGTTCTGGTGTCTACCGTATCGGTTCCTCCGTCGAATTCGATTGGTGTTCCGTACGTACCATTCGTACGCTCCGCGAGCAGGGTCACAAGACTATCATGGTCAACTACAACCCGGAGACTGTCAGTACCGACTACGATGAGGCTGACCGCCTTTACTTCGAGAACATCAACTTGGAGACTGTTCTGGACATCTACCAGCTCGAGACTTCCAGCGGTGTGATCATGTCTATGGGTGGTCAGACCCCTAATAACATCGCTTTGCCCCTTCACCGCCTCAATGTCAACATCCTGGGTACCTCTCCTGAGATGATTGATGGTGCCGAGAACCGTTACAAGTTCTCCCGCATGTTGGATCGCATTGAGGTTGATCAGCCCGCTTGGAAGGAGCTGACTAGCATTGACGAGGCCCGCGATTTCTGTGACAAGGTCGGCTACCCCGTGCTGGTCCGTCCCTCATACGTACTCTCTGGTGCTGCTATGAACACTGTCTACTCCGAGCACGATCTGGCCAGCTACTTGAACCAGGCTGTCGATGTCTCGCGTGAGCACCCTGTTGTTATCACTAAGTACATTGAAAACGCCAAGGAGATCGAGATGGACGCTGTTGCCCGTAACGGTGTCATGGTTGGCCACTTCATCTCCGAGCACGTTGAAAACGCCGGTGTTCACTCTGGTGACGCTACTCTGATTCTGCCTCCCCAGGATCTGAGCCCGGAGACCGTCCGTCGCATTGAGGAGGCTACCCGCAAGATCGGTAATGCCCTGAACGTTACCGGTCCTTACAACATCCAGTTCATTGCCAAGGATAATGACATCAAGGTCATTGAGTGCAACGTTCGTGCTTCGCGTTCGTTCCCCTTCGTGTCTAAGGTCATGGGTGTTGACCTGATCGAGATGGCCACCAAGGCCATGATTGGAATTCCATTCCAGGAGTACCCTCCCGTGTCAGTCCCCAAGGACTACGTCGGTGTCAAGGTCCCCCAGTTCTCGTTCTCGCGTCTGTCCGGTGCTGACCCCGTCTTGGGTGTCGAGATGGCCTCTACTGGTGAGGTCGCCTCATTCGGTCGTGACAAGTATGAGGCCTACCTGAAGGCTCTCTTGTCCACTGGATTCCGTCTTCCCCGCCGCAACATCCTGTTCTCCATTGGTTCCTACAAGGAGAAGCTTGAGATGCTGCCCTCCATCAAGAAGCTCCACGACCTCGATTACAACCTGTTCGCCACTGCTGGTACCGCTGATTTCCTCAAGGAGAACGGTGTGCCTGTCAAGTACCTCGAGCATCTTCCGGACCACGAGGAAGAGGACATGAAGTCTGAGTACTCTCTCACTCAGCACTTGTCCAACAACCTCATCGATCTGTACATCAACTTGCCATCCAACAACCGCTTCCGTCGCCCTGCCAACTACATGTCCAAGGGTTACCGTACTCGTCGTATGGCTGTTGACTACCAGACTCCTCTGGTCACCAACGTCAAGAACGCGAAGATCCTGATTGAGGCTATTGCTCGTCACTTCCCCTTGAGCATCATCCCTGCCGACTACCAGACTAGCCACCGCACCATTGTCCTCCCCGGTCTGGTCAACATTGCTGCATTCGTCCCTAACCTGGTTTCCGCTGGTTCCAAGGACTTTGAGACCGTTTCCAAGGCTTCGATTGCAGGCGGTTTCAGCATGATTCGTGTGATGCCGGTCGGTGTTGACAGCTCGGTCACCGAGTCCCGCGACCTGAAGATTGTCCAGCAGAACGCTCAGGGGAAGTCGCTCTGCGACTTCAACATCTCTGTTGCTGCCACTGCCACCAACTCTGACCAGATCATCCAGATGACTGGTGAGGTTGGCTCTCTCTTCGTCCCCTTCAACCACTTGTCGGGCAACATCAACAAGGTGGCCACTGTCACCAACCACTTCAGCTCTTGGCCCTCGAGCAAGCCTTTGATCACTGATGCCAAGAGCACTGATCTTGCCTCGATTCTGTTGTTGGCCAGCCTTCACAGCCGTAACATTCACGTCATGAGTGTTACCTCCAAGGAGGATATCAGCCTTATTGCTCTGAGCAAGGAGAAGGGCCTTAAGGTGACATGTGATGTTTCCATCTACTCCCTCTTCCTCTCCCGCGAGGAATTCCCGGCCTGCAGCTCCCTGCCCACCGCCGAGGACCAGAAGGCTCTATGGGACCACATGAGCACCATCGATGTCTTCGCCATTGGCAGTATTCCTTTCCAGCTTGCTGGCAAGGAGGCCACCCCTGAGTCCGGTATCGCTGAGGCTATTCCTCTCCTGTTCACTGCTGTCTCAGAGGGCCGCCTGACCGTTGAGGACATCACCGCGCGTCTCTATGACAACCCTAAGAAGATCTTTGAGCTGCACGACCAGGTCGACAGCTCCCTCGAGGTCGAGGTTGACCGCCCCTACGTTTTCCAGAACCCCCAGGCTTGGTCTCCATTCAACGGCAAGACGATGCGTGGCTCCGTTCAGCGTGTTGTCTTCCAGGGCAAGACCACTTGCCTTGATGGCGAGATCACCAAGGATGCCGTCAAGGGTACCGACATGTCTACTCACCGCATCATCCCCACCTCGCCCGTGCAGAAGCCTGTGACCCCCATGGCCCGCCCGGAGAGTTCCCTCGATAGACACGCGTCTATCTCGGGCACTCCCGCCCGCCGCTTCCGTGCTCTGGACAGCGCTGTGCCGGCCGTTGGTGAACTTGGTCCTCCCCTTTACGTCGCCTCCTCGCAGATCTCCCCCTCGTTGGCCGACATGCTCTCCCGCTCTCCTTTCCGTGGGAAGCACATCCTGTCTGTGAACCAGTTCTCTCGCGCTGATCTGCACCTGCTGTTCACCGTCGCCCAGGAGATGCGTCTTGGCGTGCAGCGCCACGGTGTTCTTGACCTCCTGAAGGGCCGTGTCCTGACCACCCTCTTCTACGAGCCCTCCACCCGCACCTCGGCCTCATTCGACGCCGCCATGCAGCGCCTCGGTGGACGTACCATCGCCATCTCCACTGAGCACTCTTCTACCCAGAAGGGTGAGTCCCTCCAGGATACCATCCGCACTCTCGGCTGCTACGGCGACGCTGTTGTCCTGCGCCACCCCAACGCGAACAGCACCGAGATTTCGGCCAAGTACTCCCAGGTCCCCGTCATCAACGGTGGCAATGGTGCCCTCGAGCACCCCACCCAGGCCTTCCTGGACCTGTTCACCATCCGCGAGGAGCTGGGCACTGTCACCGGCTTGACCATCACCTTCACTGGTGACCTCAAGTATGGCCGCCCCGTACACTCCCTCATCAAGCTGCTCCAGTTCTACGATGTCCGCATCCAGCTTGTTGCTCCCAAGGCCCTCGCTCTCCCCGAGGATGTCCGCCAGCAGATCATTGCTTCCGGCCAGCTGGTCCTCGAGTCGGAGGAGCTGACTCCTGAGATTGTCGCCAGCTCTGACATTCTGTACTCCACCCGTGTGCAGAAGGAGCGCTTCGCCGACCTCTCCGAGTACGAGCGTCTCAAGAACACTTTTGTCATTGACAATGCTCTGCTCAAGTACGCCAAGAGCCACATGGTTGTCATGCACCCCCTCCCTCGCAACGCCGAGATCTCTGAGGAAGTCGACTTCGACCAGCGGGCTGCTTACTTCCGCCAGGTATGTTTTGAAATTTCCCCTGATTTTCTTGAACAATATACTAACTATCTTCTAGATGCGCTACGGCCTCTACTGCCGCATGGCTCTCCTTGCTCTTGTCTTGGCGCCATGAATATAAAACTCTTTTGCCATTATATTTATTTGGGAAAGGGGAATCCAAAAGCGCCATGGATTCATGTGAGACGTTTGTTTTTCCTTTTTTTTGTTTGAAAAGTTATGTCTTTCGATACTCCGTAACCAGCGTGAATAAATCGCTGTATAGATTAGATGAATCTCCGTTTCATTTGACGGTCCCGTTCAGTGTATGTCTATATTTCCATGTGTGTATATTATGTGTTATGTGTTACGTGTTATATGTGTGTTATGTGTTATGTGTGTGTGTGATGTGTTTTGCGTGTTTTTCGTTTTTTTGGGTCATTTTGGGGTCATTTCCATTTTGGGCGATTTTTTCTTTTTCTTTTCTTTTTTTTTGGGAGGAGTCTTGGCATCTTCGGGGACTTGGGACTTGGGACTTGGGACTGGGAGCCTTTTTACATTTTATATACCAACTCTGACAATATAATTCATTAATTCATCTATGTCCGAACTTCTTTTCAAGTTTGAAACACCCAACGAGGATCCTTGTCCCCTTGGAATTCTCCCTCCGCATCACCCACGTCTCCCATTAACGGACTCAGTCCCTGGACTTCCCTAAGACGCTCCTTTTCAACGTTCTCCCGTCGGAGCACTTGCCATAGGATCCCAACTACCACCATGTTGGCAACCAGATATCCCAAGGCAAATCCATGACCCAGGAAGTACCGCGGGGCAGTCTCGGTGCGGTATAGCTGTGTTCCAAGGACCGCACCTAGATTACCAATTGAGATCTGCATGGCGTTGGCAATGCAACGTTTGGTCTGTCCAGACACATTATTGGCGGGCCAGGACAGCACAATAGCCACAGCTGGGTAGATCCCTGCCGCAGCAAAGATGGTTCCAACATAGGATACGCCCGCACGATGCTGTGATAGTAGGAGAATGTATCCGATACATCCAATGGCGGATGATCCCATGATAAACGGAGCACGGCTGCGTGTCTTTTCAGAAGCAATGGCAACCCCAATTGTCAGGAAGAATGCCACTGCGTACGGGGGCACAGAAAGCAGCTGGGCCTTTGCGGCTGAGTATCCGAGTTCTTTGATGATTGTCGGAAGGAAGAGCGATAAGGTATACAGTGGCAAGGACATCGTGTGGAAACCAAGTCCATACAGCCAGACTTTGGGGTCTTTGAATGCATCCAGTACTGCCGACCAGGTGAATTCCTCATCCCGAGTGGCATCACTGTCATTCTTCAGACGGAATTGGACAAACTCCCGTTCTTCCTTTGATAGAAATTCGGCTGTTGATGGGTAGTTATACACCCATAAATAGGCGATGATCGAGACGACAATGGTCAACAGCCCTTCCTGGATTGATTGTAAGCTTGTGTCGCTATATATCAAGATGACATGGTTGATCCAGGACGCACTAGAATGAAGATCCACCTCCAACCATTCAAGTTCCCCACACCTTTCATATGAGAAATTGCCTAGAAGCTTGTGAGTGGTGGACATCTACCGAGACAAGAAAAACCAACCCAAGCTAGGACACCACCAAAGGCACCCGCCAGCGAGGCAGCACTGAAAAACAGAGCCACGCGATAATGTTGCTCGTTCCGCTTATACCACATGGACAGGTAAAATACGACACCGGGAAATAATCCACTCTCTGCAACGCCCAGGAAGAACCGTGAAGAAAGATATCCAGGGTAATTCTGTACTACTCCCAAGAGTGTAGCGACTACTCCCCAAAAAAGAGTGAGAGTTGGAAGCCATATTCTCGGAGTTGTTTTCTTTAAGATGATCTGGATGTAACCGTTAGTATATAATCATTTATATTAGCAGGCCATGCTCACATTGCAAGGAATCTCAAAAAGAACATAGCCGATAAAGTACAGTGTCAGACCTGTCAGGTACTGGTTTCCTGCTATAAACCTCCCGATGTCCCAATTAGCCCTTGATCGATATGTAAACACAAAAACGTACACATATTGATGTCTTCCGTCATTCCTTCTAGACGAGCATTTCCCACATTGCTACGATCCAAAAAGGAGAGTAAATAGAGTAATGTTAGGGGTGGCAAAAGACGATAGTCCAATTTCCGTAACAAAGCCTTCTCATTGATGCCCTTAAAACTTGAAGAACCACTGGCGTCACTCTCGTTGCCAGTGGGCACATCGTGCTTTTCTGAAGTAGTCATGGTGACCCACAGAAGAATCTGTCTTGAATTAAGACGTCAATTCAGGTCATGATATACGAAAAGAGGGGGGAATAGGAGATATATATAACATGTAGCACACCATCCATTCTTCCCCACGAAAAAAAAGCATGTTCCCCAGAGACAGCGAATAAAATCACTAATATAGGGTACATAAGAAGGAAATGAGCAATATTGGGGTTGAAATGACGAGATCGGATTCCACTTGAAGATCGGCAAGCTGCATACATGTAAATATTGCGTATTTTACGAGTTTTATATCGTTGGAGTACAGAAACCGGATTACTATTACTGTTATAACTTACTACCATCTAGAGAAGCTTTTCATTTTATAAGGTTGATATGATTATCAGTATTCTATACTGTTAGAAAGTATGTACTATATTGTACAGTTGGTATATTTGTTTATTTCCCGTATACTGTCAGAGTATATGTGCACTAATTGACACACCTAGACATCTCTTACCCTTCCTCTATCAGTTTATACCTTATCCGGCCAGTACCTTTGTACAATGACCTTCTTATTAACCTTCCCCATAGCATTGCGCTCGATTCCATCCACGACTTTTAGAACAGTTGGGATCTTGTAAGGAGCCATCTCGTTCTTGAGCTCAGCGCGTAGCGTAGGAAGTTCCAGCGGTGTAGTCTATATCACTGTTAGTTATGAAAAGAAGACAGTTTCCCCGGCATGGGCACAACATAAACATACCCCTTCTCGGAACTTGACAACCGCAGCAACTCGCTGGCCCCATTCTTGATCAGCCAATCCAACTACTGCAACTTCTTGAATCGCATGAATGGCCAACATCTTGCGTTCAACTTCCAATGCCGAAATTTTATATCCACCGGATTTGATTAGATCGACAGAGGCACGACCTTGGATGAAGTATGCACCGCTTGAATCGCGTTTGGCAACATCGCCGGTCTTGAACCATCCATCCGCTGTAAATTCTGACGCCGTCGCCTCCGGTTTTCGCCAGTACTCGCAGAAGACATTGCCGCCCTTGATCTCGATCATACCATCCTCATCTACTTCATCCACGACCCGACCGGTTTCCTTTTCGGTCAGTCGCACTTCGACGCCGGGCAACGGCCACCCAACACTGCCATCGATTCGCTTTTCAATCTCTAGCCCGCAACTGATCGCCATACCGATCTCGGTCATTCCATACCGCTCCAATAGAACCTGACCGGTGATTTCGGCGAATTTTTCTTTGATGGGGGTGGGGAGGGCCGCAGATCCACTGACGACCAGTCGTAGAGCACGAGCTCCAGCCCGTGCGGCATCTTCTTGTTCTGTGCCGCGGATATGAGCATCGAAGTAGTCATTCAGACGCGAGTAAATGGTCGGTACAGCCATGAACAAGGTCGAGGAACCGTGGTCCTGCCACCGCTCCCAGATCACCTTCGGATCAAACTTCGGATGCATCTCCACGGTGGTACCACTCAGGAAACTGGCAGCCAGGCCATTGATGATCCCGTGGACGTGGTGGAGTGGCAGCACATGAATCAGACGGTCTAAGGAAGTGTACTTCCAGGCCTTGACCAGACAGCTCGCTTGGAAAGTGATGTTCTCGTGTGTTGTCACGCAGCCCTTGGGGTTTGATGTGGTTCCGGAGGTGTATATCATCAGGGCGCGGCGAGTGAGCGTAAACGGCGGGGAGAAAGAAGGTAAGGTCGGGGCCTCATTTCGAGAGAACGGTTCCAGACCAATGAATGGTATATCGGTGGCGCATCCTTTGCGCAGCGACGGTGCGATCTTCTCGAATTCCGGATGCACAATAATCAATGAGGGGTCCGAATCACCGACGGTGTATAGTAGTTCCTTCACTGGATGACTTGTGCCTAGTCAATGTCAGCGTTGAATACAAGAAGATTCGCATTCCTGCGCATCATTTTCACCTACAAAGTGGAACGCATACACCTCCTGCCGCCCACACGGCCCATTGCGTAGCAACGTAGTCATATCCATTCGGGACTAAGAAGGCAATGCGCCGTTCCTCCAAATCCGCCGTCAATCCCAATTGCTCAAGTATGCGCTTTCTTAATGCTGCTGCATCGGCCAGCAATTGAACGAATGTGAAGGATTGTTGTTTGGTGGTGTCAATGACTGCGATCTTCTCGGGATTCTGGCGTGCATGTTGCTCCGCTGCAACGAAGAGGGGTAAGGAAGGGATCGGCATAACTAATTTGATTCTTTGAATCTTTGGCAACCTTGACCCTAAAAATAAATCATGAAGCCAATGTAGATATAAGAAAGAGAGGGTAAAGGTGAAGAATTTGAGGAACATACGGGATCCCCCATGTATTTAGCCGATTGCGGAGAAAAGCGCCACTGTCCACTGTGGAGTATTCGAAAAGAGCAAAAGAGGAAAGAGAGATGGTAGAATATATTATACCATGATTGGAGACAGTCAATATAGGCAATTGAGACTAAAATAGTAGTAAAAATAAGTTACTCCAACTATATTCACTTATATTGTTTCTATGGAAGTCTTAAATCTTCACCTAACATGGTTGAGATCGGCATTCTCCCATATATTCTGCTTTCCACCCTTTAGAGCCAGGTCAAGCATGGCTCCAGCTAAATTATCCACCTTCACCGATGGCCCAAGGCTAAATGCAAGACTGTGTAGGCTCATACCTTGCGCTAACACCATAGCCGGCCGCATGATATGAGCCTCGAAACCAGGGTGATCATTGTCAAATCCCAAAAGTCCATTCTCGACTTGGCCCTACTACTGGTCAGTGAAATTTCGATGATTCGAACCGATGTTCTCGTACCCGAATGCGCCGATACCCCTGCATAAACCAGAGCGGTCTAGTCTGATCCCTCTCGGCGGCAGCACCGCTACAGTATATGAACCGGAACGGTTTCTGGCACGTCTCCTGAAAGACTTGCGCTGCGGCAAAAGTAAAGTCCAAGCTCACTCGTCGAGCGATGTCATTATCAGGTATGTGGGCCTTGCCTAATGTCCTACATAGAAGAGAAGTCAATATCGCATCATGTAGACTCTTGGCGGTGGATTTCATACCAGATACATGCCTCGGCATCTCGAATGTCATCCCGGATGGAGTCAGGATAGGTCATGAAATCCTCAATCAATGCGACTTTAAGCTTTTTGTGTGCTGGTAGGTCTCGCCGGCTGAGTGCTACGATCGAGGTGATCGCAGGATGTGCAAGACATTGGGATAAGACTTCGCGGCCGACGAAGCCCGTTGAACCTGTGAGGATGACCTTCATCATTCATACAATGCTTGCTGGGAGTTGACGGTGAGGGACACGCGAAACAAGGGTTATGGGGGCAGCCGGGGATAGCATTTTATCTCCGTCTGCTTCGGTGTTAAGGTGGGATTGCAGGACATAATTATTTGTTCTACCTAAATATAATCACAGCATAAATTCCAAATCAAGGCCGCTAATTCGACATTCGACATTTAACAATAAATCAACTACAGCATGGCTACCGCGGATGGTGCCTGTGCCAGCTCGCCCGGTTGGACGGTGCGTGGCCCCTCGAATGATCCTTGGCCGTTCTCTTCCAGTCCGCGAGCTACCAAGTCTGTGAAATCCACACCCACTTCCACCAAGAGAGCGGCATGATCATGCACAATGTCGAGGCATTTCTGCCAAACCGATGTGCCACGCTGCACGCTGCTAAGCTGTCGACTGAGTAGAGCATTGAACCCGTCGAGATGATGCTTAGCCCAGCGAATGCAAGAGCTACTCATTACGCTAGAGAAACATTGTTGATAGATACCGATGGTGTTCTTGATCAGGGTAAAGTAGACGTAGGAGATCTGGAAGATGTAAAGAGGCAGATCACCCTCAAAGATACAAGCCCTAGGAAAAGAAGTCAGCATGCAACCATGGGCTTGTCTGATAAGATGAAGAACATACCGGATACGTTGGCCGATCACGTCCGAACGTGCCTTCAGGTAGGCCTCACGTGCCTGATCCTCAAACCCTAGCCGACTCAACCAGGTAACGTGTGTCTTGGTAGCCACCGGGAATGAGTGTTTGTCGACCAGTGCCCGCGAGAGAATGCCGGCAAGTCGAGTCGCTCGCCCGTCGACCTTGAAATTGATGACGTCCTGTGCAATGGTGTTACCCTTGAGGCCCTTGGCCAATTTCCGTAGTCGCTCGATGCTGAACACCGACGCCTCGAATCGCTGAAGCGCAATATCAATATCAAGCTCGTCCACCTGCCCTTCAACCCAACGGAGGTTCTGCTGTTTCCCATCCACATCAATACGCAGATCAGATTTGTCTCTTGGGGTATCGGAGAGGTCGAAAGACTCTGGCTTTTTCGAATGGGAAAGGTGCCGACCAGCCATATATCCATACGATTCCAAGGGCTTGCTGGCCGCTTCGGTCTCCGAGCGCATGGTTCGACGTAGATCCTCAACTGTCTTGCGGAAAGTTGCTAGAAGTTCCTGTTTCGCCGAGACGTCATCATGGCGGTATGTAAAGGGCTTGGATCCCACGCGGATGCTGATCGATCTCCCAATGCCCCGATCCAAAGCTTCTTCACGCGCTTGCCCCGTTCCCAGATTGGCTCCCAGATCAATCATATCAATATCGTTAAGAAGCCAGCAATCTTCTGCCACTAGCCTCGTTGGAACAGGTCCTCGGTGGTTGGGGTGACTTTGGTCGACCCGCTTCCGTTTCTTCGCAGCTACGAGCAGGTAATCGTTTAACAACACAATGTGAACGGGCCGTCTTGGTTTCCAGGTTGCTGAGTCCAGCTCAACCCAATTACCAGTTTCCAGGACAATGTGCCGTCCCGGTGCAGCTGGAAGCCACTTTTGCGACCCTTCCACTGTTTTCCACAATGTTTGTAGCTGTACGCTCCACATGCTCTCAAGGTTGGCGACCGAGCTGCGATTGGCATTGCGTTTGGGGAAAGAGTCCTCCATTGGTGACATGGGGTTAGGTGAATTCCCTACGCTGGTTTGTCCAAGCGCCGTTGTCAGCTCCGCCATGAGGGTACGGAGGGTCCGCATTTCATCCTTGAGCTTCTCCGCCTCTTTACTGATCTTGATGAATTGGGTACGATTCTGGTAGACATTTTGCTGGAGGTCGGTGGATGTTCGGTTTTTGACTTTGCGTAGGCTTTCTTGGTACTTTTGGATATCTTCCTCGGACGCGTTGGCAAGAAGACCGGCCACATCTAGCATCGGAAACTCCTTGTTAGCTTTCTCAAATACACAGCGACGGGCCAGGGAGCTCTAACATCGATCAACTGGAAGACTGGGATCTCGTAGAGCATTGAGGTCGACTTTTGGTGCTGGTGAGTTCGGGTCCGCGGGTGATGGTAGTCTCGGAATAGCTGCCGGCGCTAATCCACCACGACCTCCGGGCACCTGAGTTGGAAGTGCCGGAACAGGAGGAGCATTGCCATCAAATTCAGGTGCGCTGTTGAACCGAGTCGAGTATCGCCGTTTCACCAAATCCGAGGTCGCATCGTTCTGGGGTGCCCGCTCACGTGTGGGGATTGTGGCTGGGCCTGATTCGGGAGACCTGGTATTGGGAGGTAGAGGACCAGAGATAGGTTTGGGAGCGCTAATCTGAGGGCGCTGCCGACGAGACTTGCTCCTCAAAGTCAATCCTCGGCCTTCCATGGTGATTTTACTTTGCAATATAGCAATAGCCAAAGGAATGGAAACGTCTCGGGAGGTCAAGGGGATGACGCTCGGGCTGCGGGTATGATTATATAATCCCTTGTAGGCTCCGGACATCTCGACATCCTTGGAAACATTTTTATCACTCAACCACCACTCAACCACTATCGCCTTTCCAAGTCCCCATACACTTCTAACCTGGGACAAATCCCATACCTCTAATTCGATCTCATCCCACATCTTCACTATGGCTTTCCGAAACACTGCCATCGTCGCCGGCACGATCCTGACGGGAGTTCTCGGTATGTAGTATTCGTCTTGCCGCGTTTTTCAATTATTAACCGTGTTTATCAGCCTACGCCGTTTATTTCGATCACAAGCGTCAAAGCGACCCTAACTTCCGCAAGTCGTTGAAGAAGAACAACAAGAAGGTCGAACAAAGCGTGAAACAGGAGGCAGAGGCCGGCGCCGCAGCCAGGGTCGCAGAGCTCAAGAATGCGCTCGAACAAGTGAAGAGAAACGGTGAACTTCCAACAGACCTCGAAGAGAAGGAAAGCTTCTTTATGAGCCAAGTCGCGTTGGGCGAATCTCTTTGTGCTTCGGAAGGTAAATTGAATCCATTGTCTCATCCTATCTCGATTCTGAGGGACGGGATCGAGATATCGGTTACACGTCGTAACCGGGATAAACAGATGGCTAACTGAACCTTTAGGCTCTCAAGTCGAAGCGGCAATTGCCTTTTGGAAAGCATTGAAGGTCTACCCCCAGCCTCAGGTAAGTACAACCCATGCCTGACGTTACCTATTGCCTTTTTCATCATTTTGTTCATCATTCTAACTGCTACAATTACTCAGGATTTGATCGGAATTTACGATAAGACCGTTCCCAAGGAAACCCTTGAAATTCTCGCCGAACTTATCGCACTTGATGGTGGTCAATCTGTCGGCGCCAAGACTGGCACCGACGATAACATCGAATAGAAGACTGGACCTGACCTCTCGACAACTTGTATTTTAGATAGAATTCTCAAATTTGTATCACATAATTTATATCGCGGAGAACTAGTATGTCCGTTGCCCATGAGCCGTGGGGGATACGGAAAACAAAAGGGCGTGGATGAAGGCTACCTGTAAGTTGGACTGATTGATGGCGTTTCATTGCTAAATAGTCCAATCATATGGAACACAAGAGATACCACCAATCTAAAGCTACCTCTTCTCTCTTTTGACTTTCTTTCCTACGAGGTATATACACCCCTTCCATCTTGTGTCCAGGAAGACGTTTATAGACTGGTCCATTCTTGGGGGGAGAACCCATCTATCAAACACTCCTTCATTCGGGACCCTAGTCTCAAGACGTTCGAACATCAATTATATAATGATCCCGTGGTAGTAATTAATATGGCTAGTGAGGAGTCCATATGTTCAATGAGAAGAAGTTATTTCGTGCACTCTGCAGCGGTCATGTAAGACGAGGAATGTTCGCTGGTATTAGAATCGAGTGCGCTTACTAGCGCCCTGTTGCTATTTGTTTGTGGGTTGGGACGATGGGACAAGGAAGAGGAAGAAGCCAAGTGAACGAATGAAGGTGGGGAGAGAGGCAAGAGAGACAGGCAGTGGTTGGGTAGGATTTCCAGTATCATCCTATACAACTAGAGCCAGGCCAGTTATTCTTGACGATGATTGGTCCCTTACTCCGTGGAGCTCTCCGCTGTGCTACAATCTATTGCCAAGGTATTGATTCCGGGGCTTTCTTTAGTTAGGATGGATTTGAGGTTTATAAGTCAAATTTATTCGAGTTCATTCAAAATGTTCATCATGGGAGGGATAGATAGATGGATGGATAGAATGAGAGTAGAAGAAAGAAGAAGAGTAAATAAGAGGTCAAGTATGAAGTGAGACAGGATATTCCGAATCAGGCAGGTCGGTGTTCGACACCTGAAATACAAGGCCACGATCTCCCAGCCCTAACCACACTGGGGCATAATACTTATCGCCAACTTTCTAATTTTTTCTAATAACGGCATGGAGGGACTTGGAGGTTTCTGTTGCCGATACCCCTGAAAGTAGCCTTTCAACACAGCCCAAATAGCCCAGATCGCCCAGACATAGCGTCCGAGCAATCACTATTGAATGGCACCTTGGCCCTGAGTGGGAATTCTTGGCCGTACTTGGCCGAGTTCGTCCTAGGGGAAAGAAAGGAAATTGGGGGAAAGAAAAGAAATGGAGCTCAAACCTTTTGACATTATAAATGTAATTTAGTATAATATTCATAGGTAGAATTATTGTATATACTACGGAGTCCTGCATAGCCGATATACCTAAATGAAACGAAGATGTGAAACATCCAAGAACGCAAGACCCTCCAAGACCCTCCAAGACCCCCTATTATTTGTTCAGAGATTGTGGCTCTCCACTAAATTGAGACCGCTGATCAATTGGGTCTCTGTAGAAAGTATTTCCAAGTTATTTAGCTCATTTAACTCATTTGACCCATTTAGCCCATTTAATATCATTTAAGACGTTTAATTCCTTCGATTTCCTTTTCTTCTTCTTTTGGTTCCAGTCGTTCCTTCCATTTTCGCGCCATTGCGCTGTCACTCGTTATCTTATCTCATCTTATATCGCCTTATTATATCCTTCTTCTCTCTATATAGTGTTGATTTTCTATACTTTGATTCCACAATGATTGTATGTGTTGTCGCATCTCTATCATTGTAGCCCACGAACTGACCTTCTAGTCTTACACCGGTCTCTTCGCATCCGTGTGTGCGCTCGCCAGCACCGCGGCCGCTCTGACCCCACTCGAAGTTAGCGGCAAGGACTTTGTTGACTCCAAGACCAAGGATCGTTTCCAAATCATCGGTGTTGAGTAAGACTTCCTTGCCTCCAGGGCTGTTTCTTTCCCACATTCTACGGTGGCTGATCCCTCAATAGTTACCAGCCCGGTGGTGAAGCTGGCTTCACCACGAAGCTAGACCCTTTGAGCGATGCAGATGTCTGCTTGCGCGATGCTGCCCTGATGCAGCGCCTAGGTGTAGGTCTAGATCCCATCTTCCTTGCCGTACAGCAACTTAATTTCTATAGGTCAACACCATCCGTGTGTACAACCTGGAACCCTCTCTCAACCACGACGAGTGCGCGTCGATCTTCAACGCCGCCGGTATCTACATGATTCTGGACGTCAGCAACCCTCTGGCCGGTGGCTACCTGGACCGCAGCGCCCCCTGGACCACCTACAGCGCCATCTACTACAAGCAGGTGTTCGGTGTCATCGAGGGCTTCAAGAACTACGACAACGTCCTGGGCTTCTTCGCTGGAAATGAGGTGATCAACGAGGATGCCCATTACCTGGCTCCCAAGTACATCCGTGCCGTCGTCCGTGATATGAAGGATTACATCGCCAAGAATGCGAAGCGCGCCATTCCCGTTGGATACTCCGCTGCCGACATCCGTAACATCTTGATGGACACTACTCACTATTTCGAGTGTGAACTCAAGAACTCGACCTCTTCCCGCGCTGACTTCTTCGGTCTCAACTCTTACTCTTGGTGTGGTGACTCCTCTTACAAGGCCAGCGGCTTCGATGTCTTAACCGAGGACTTCACCAACGCCACTATCCCCGTTTTCTTCTCCGAGTACGGCTGTAACGATGTCAAGCCCCGTATCTTTACCGAAGTGCAGGCCCTCTACGGCGTGGAGATGACCCAGGCTTTCTCTGGTGGTCTCGTTTACGAATGGACACAGGAGAAGAACGACTACGGCCTGGTCAAGGTTAACGACTCTAAGACCGTGACCACTCTTATCGACTATGATAACTTCCAGAAACAGCTCAACAAGCTGGACATGGACCGCATCATGTCAAGCAATGCCACACAGGCCAATGTCAAGGCCGAGGCATGCAGTGCCTCACTCATCAAGAGCAAGTCTTTCTACGATGCCTGGGATCTGCCCGAGGTTCCTTCCAAGGTCTCGGACTACATCAAGAATGGTCTGCCCGATGCCGCCACTGGCAAGTTAGTCTCTGTCTCGTCCACCACCATCCCCCAGAAGGTGTATGACTACACCGGCAAGGAGATTACGGATGTCAAGTTTGAGGTGAAGAGCGGTGCTAACACCCCGTCTTCCTCCGGGTCGACTTCCTCCGGATCAAGTACCTCCGGTTCCTCCTCCGGTTCATCTAGCTCCTCCTCCAGCTCCGGTACTTCCACCCCCAATGCCGCCTCTCCTAATGGCGCTCCCTCGATTGCCCTTGGTGGTGCAGGAGGTTTCTTCATGCTGCTTGCATCCCTGATGTAATTGCCCTGGCTGCTTTTGATTAGTTCATTTATAAGATTCAGAGTTCGGACTGAGATGGCCAAGAGGCTAAAATCGGGTCTCGAGTATCTATTTTCTGTATGGGTTACCCCTATCCTTTTTGCCCGGCTTTCCTGTGATTCAGTTGCCAATTTGTACATGATTCCTTTGGGATAATTCACGGCTTTGATTTTTCTTCTCGTGCTTTCAAGCTTCCAGCATCAAACCATCGCATGAACACTGCGAAGGAGTTTGTAGACGCAATATATGGTGGCAAGAAATCCTTTTACTTCCTACTAATGTTTATGTCACGAATATTCGTATTTCGTCCTTTCTTGTAAATATCATAGCTTGAAAGATCGATCCTCATAGATTGTAGCGCCAATAGCTTTCCCTTGATCGACTCCTTCGGCCCTAGTCTTCAAGATCCGCTTCAAAATCTTGCCAGAGGCACTCTTAGGAATCTCATCGATCAGAATAATCCCACCCCGAAGCTTTTTACGAGGAGCTAGTTTCCCATCAACGTAGGCTACCAACTCCTCTGCAACATGCTTCGTTGGTTTATCCGTCTTCTCAAGAACCACATAAGCAACTGGTATCTCGGACGCAATCCTCTGGACAACAAGTCCAATCACAGCGACATCTCGGACAAACGGATGTTCATGCAAGACGCTCTCTATCTCCGTTGGGGGGATTTGGAAGCCCTTGAATTTAATGAGGTCCTTTAAGCGATCTGTGATAAAGAGATTCCTCTCCTCATCTTGGAATCCGATATCACCGGTTTTGAACCATCCATCGGGTGTGATAGAATGCGCAGTGGCCTCGGCATTGTTATGATAACCTGGAAAAATGGTCGGTCCTCGAAGACACAGTTCACCTTCGCCTTTGCTTACTGGGTTGCCTTGCTCATCAATGAACTTTGTCTCGACTTGGGGATATGGAGGACCACTTGAGCCTAATGCTTGACCCCATCGGTCCCATCTCTGTTGGAATAAGTTATTTAAGGGCCCGAAGAATTATATGGATCTGATGGAGGATACCTGCATGTGGGAGACAGCTGTCGACTCGGTCAATCCAAATCCCTGGCGCACCGGAATCTTCAGACGAGTGTGCACAGCACGGACTAGATCCGGTGCTAGTGGTGCACCGCCCGAGGTTACCATTCTCAATGATGATAGTTGTTCGCGCGTCATTGCGGGATCTTTGGCCAGGTACAGAACCACAGGCGGAGCAACATAGATATGGGTGATTGATTCGGTTTGAACGTTGTGCAAGAAGGATTTGACAGAGAACTCCTCCATTATTGTTGTCTCTATTCCCCTCAAAAGAGGGAAATGTACTAGACATACAAGTCCTGCACATAGACTGGTTAGCCTGTAAATGAGGTTATCTCCACTTAAAGTTGACATACCGAAGATATGATATGTTGGTAAGAATGCGAGGAACCGATCATGTCTCCAGCTTATGTGTTCACCGTCAACTTGTCCCTGTATGATGATCTCCGCCACAAGATTGGTATGGGTGATCCTTGCCCCCTTGGACCGTCCCGTAGTCCCGGAAGAATACACTAAAAAGGCTGTATCGACGGCTGCGTCTATCTTCGGGCGTGTTGTTCCAGGCGCTCCACCTCCTATCATAGATTCGACATGTTGCAGCTCTACTTCTAGAGAACCGGGACCGACTGCCAACATGTGAGCAACAGGAAAGTCAACGCGTTTTGCAGCTGCAATTGCAGTGTCTAAGAGCGAGGTGTGTACAACAAGTGCTTTTGCCCCAGTATCACTGAGTTGGTATCTCAACTCATCGGCAGTGTATGTCGGGTTGGCCGGTGAGACTACCCCTCCGGCCCAATGGCATCCCCAAAATAACGCGGGGACATCAATGTCATTTGGTGCAAAAACTAAGAGAATATCACCCTTTTGCCATTCCCACTGGCTTTGGAGATTGGCACCAAAACTTAGGGCTTGGGATCGAATGTCGCTGTAGGTCCGGACTTCGCCTGATGGCGATTTGAAGATGACTATACCTGTTAGTATCTGGTTTTGATATGGGCAAAATGTACGTACTATGGTCATCTGGGAAAGGTTTCACTCTTCTTTCGAAGAGACAATCCCAAACATCAAGTGGAGGGATCTCTATATGTTGCATGGTTGTGGATGGAGTATGGAGGAGTTCAAGTTACGTATATATGTATATATATGTAAGTGATCCCAGGCCATGACGCAAGAACTTCCTCACATCCGATCTTGCCTATAAACAATTTGTATTTGATATTTTGATATTTTGACGTCTCTTTTAAATATTATACATGCTCAATTCGGTTATAAAATCTTATACCCTTTTCACTATGTTCTATAGTTGGGGATTAACAACAATAGAGGGGGGCAATATCTATAAAACTGCATAACAACTCTACTTCCTCTTTTTCTAGATACAGTTTCCATTCTCTCCTGATCACTCTATCCACCATGGCCGATAACAAAAGCTGGTTTCCAGTGTCCCTTCAAGAAGGGCAAGATCATCAAACTGACAGAACCTGTCTCACGTTGGAAAATTGTTGAGAAAGTTAACGAGCACGAGCAGTTTGAAGACACCGAGCCACACCCCTCCCTTGCCTCCGCCAAGTTCCTCTGTCGAGACGCCAGTGACTCTTCCAACAACAAATATGCCTACCTTTGTATTGTACAACAGATTCCCTCGGTTAAGGGCAAAGTCTCAGACCATGTATCTCGGGAAGCCACCCAACTCACTCCGGAGCTCAAAGCCACCCAACTCTGAAAGAAAGAAAATCCCCCAATACACCTAAGCTCTTAGCATGGCAACAGAAAATCCAGGATACATCTGGGCCAGTCCCAGTATGGATCACATGGATAGATTTCGAAAGGGTAGAGGGCTTCCCTCTTGGGGATGAGGACGCGGCCGGTACCTTCTGGGAGCTGTCGCCAGATACTCAAATGACCATTCGCAGGGTGCTCATTGAAGAATTTAGGTAAATTCCTTCGATAAGATTCATAAAAGAAGGATGCTGATATATGGCAGTCTCGCTGGGGAAATCGGAGTATTGCTCGCCGATGAAGGCCCCTACAGCGCAACAAGACGCAGACGCAGACTATGTAGGCCAACAATATCTTCAGATAATTCGGAATTGGGGCTAATGTTTGATAGTCATTTCGTAGGCTTCCGAGACCCCGAGTTCTTAGAAGCCGAAATTCCGGTTGCTCCAGATGTTGTCTGCCAACTATTCCAGATTGATAAGCCTCCCCTGACACGAAAGACCGATAACCTTTTTGTGATGTCACGGACTGGAGTAATTCCAGGTTCAGATCTTTAAAGGAATGGTATCAGAGGAATGACTTGACAGTGTCCTGTCTTCTCTTTTGCCCATTTATTTTGCTCCTCGCTACTCTCATCAATCTAATTGACAGTCGTCCCAATCTTCATGCACTCGGGTTTCTTCATATAGATATGATACAAATGTACACAACCTTGAATAGTCGTTCACTTATGCGGCCCGTCAGGTCTCTTTGGCTATTCTTTCCTGGTAGTCATTTTAGATGGTCTTTTTGGATCTCTTAGACGTGTATTTGGTTTTCTTTTTTTTCTTTTTTTTTCTGGTAGATGACTCCCAATTATTGGTGCTCGCCGCCTAAATATAGAACATACATGTGAAAAAGTTGTAATCGACCCTTCTATGTGTAATATATGAAGAGACAGGATCCATACCTAAGCCTATTTCCCTCGGAGATTCGGCTGGCGTTATCAGGTAAATGTTGATAGACGGATTTCTAAATTTTCCATACTGGTTGTTGTAAGGAGGTTGGTCCCAGTGCGTGCTAGCCGGTCAATATCACATCAAAAGGAATATTTCGATTGATACAAATGCAAACACTCGAAAACATTGAACAATAACACGACAGGAAATCGAAATGCAAAATGCAACATAACTCAAAATCGAGACTAAACAGCCCTCGCTTTCCCCTTGCCTTTGCCTGACGGTGAAGCAGGCATTGGCCCCGACGCGAGAGATGGAAATTCCTCCCACTCCTCTACGCCATCATCGCGACTCTTGCCCTCAGCCAAGCTGAGCTGAATTGCAAATTCCAGATCATCCATCTCCTGCTGTCTACTGCCCTCAGCCACCTCATCTCTAGGCGATGGCTGTCGAGGCGGGTGTACTCCCTTGGCATACTTGATAGGGATAGACAACGTCTGGCCAATACCTTGCTCGTCAAGCAAGCTAAGACGAATTGCCTCGGCCAGTTCGTCATCATCATTATCGTCCGCGGCATCTTGATAGGGAGATGAAGAGGACGAGATTTCGTCAGGGTCAACCGAACTAGGACCAATGGTGTCGAATGAAGTGCTTGTGGCCGAGCTGGAGATTGCGGTGCTGTCCGTGGGTTTCGTCGCATCGCCAGAGCAGGCCTCCTCGCTCAGGAGTTGGGCATACAGCAAAAGCTGTTCCTCGTCAATGTCTGGCCCAAGAAGATCAATTCCGAAACGCGCGCTCAAATGTGCTCGTTCTTTCTCGTCGGCAATCCTTTGACGCTCCATATCAACGCGTTCATCTTCAATAAAGTCCTCAATTGCACCCCGACCACTATTGTTGAAGCGTTGGCCTTCGCCGGCCCCGTTGCCGCCACGCATTAAGTGGCGGATGCGGCGCTTGCTCCTCTTGTACTGATCAGCCTCGGAAGAACTGTAAGACCAGTATCGCAAGTGGGTCCCAAGTGAGACCATTCCACGCAGAACGGTTGGGTCTGTATCAAGGCATATTGCGCCTGTAGCATAGTAATTGTTTCCAACACCTAGAATAGATGCCTCAGCTTGCACAAGCCTACGACGAGCCCGGGTCGAAAAACGGGAGTTGATCGTCCGGATTGGCTTGGTAGACGATGCTAGCGGATCCCAGGCTTGCACAAGGCCATCGTTACCGCCATGAACAAGATATAACGATGTGATAGCCAAGGAAGACACCTGGGGCGAGTCTGTTTGAATAGTGCGCAATGAGGAAATGCAATTGATCATCTCCGCAGACTTCGCCGCCGGGGCTCGGATATCCCAGACAAACACCATTCCAGTGCGTGTTCCAACAGCTAGGTATCGAGCGCGTTGCCCAGGAACTTCTAGGCTCGACCGCGGCCGATCCATATGTGGTAAAATTGGGGAGGATATTGTAGACGAAGTAGAGCTCCCGGACATAGCTAAAAGAGGATCCTCTTCGGCAGTGAGAGTCGCAAAAGTGGATGTATCCAATGCAGTAGTGCTCACTTCCGTAGATTTGCGATCACCGAAAACAAAATCCGACAGACGCCACCCGAAATTGGTCGAATGTGAGCCCATCCGCCCGGAGGATCGAGAAGGGGGAAGACTGCTGGCGATGTTCGGACTTGGTATGTTCACTGGGCCGCCGAAGAGTGATGGCGTAGCTTCTGGTGTACCCGGTAAGGGCTCTGGCGTGGCCGGCGAGCTGAAGTCAGACGTAGAAGCAGTGCGCATGAACCGTCGAAGCGATGCCTTTGCATCTTCGCCCGAGCCACGAGCAATGATAATGACTGACTCGCCTGCCCCGCACCCATCATCGCCAGCAAAGTCCACCTTAAGATCGCGCTGCATGTCCCAGTTTTCACAGACCTTGCGGAAGTGTTTGGGCTTGAAAGAAATATAATTTTCAATCTCTTTCGTTTCAGCAGCAATCTGGTGTTCATTGAGCCCCATGGAATCCGATGACGAGCGCGGACTATAGCTGCCATCGATCAATTCACGATTAAAGGGATCTGGGCGTGCCACACGTCTGCTCGCTTCGACCATCTCCCAATGAACACTTCTGCCAGTCTTCCAAGCCACCTCATCAAGCTGCTCGGTGTTGAGTTTGGCTGTGAGTGGAATCTCAGGTGCCCGAGGAAGTTCTGTGAGGTAGAATATTTCCCCTAGAGCATTGAGAGCAACAGCCCAAATTCGTTTTCCTAAATGGCGCTTGGGTGAATATTGATCATCCACGGCAATGCCAATAATAGGGACACCAGGGGACAGGACCCATCTAGCGGTCACTTGACCGGGTTCGTATCGCCTTTCGTAAGTCGGGTGAGGGCCTATAGAATACGCCGTTAACACGCCCGAAGATGATCCAGACAGCATTCCCACTAGCCCCTGGGTCATCTTGAGGATGTGAGAGGATTTAGCAATCCACACCGAACAGACAGCATGTGTGATCATGTTCACAGCGGGGATGCCGAGTGGTGGGTGAGAACCCAAATCTGAAGCTCCCAAGAAACGACCACGCTGCTCCGTCGCTGAAATAAAGTAGCTGCGGCCCTGGGGACAGCCTTCGCCATAGATCATGCCATATGGTTGACTGACGTCCATCAAGTTGGGCACACCGATCATATCACCCGATCCGAGGCCGTATTGCGCTTCACCAGGGAACATATCTGCAAAGTGGCGGAACATCTGGTGGTCGGAGACACCCCAAGTGCCGACTTTTACAGTCGATGGGTCACTGGCAGACGCAATCCCTTGCTCTGCGGCTCCATGGATGAAGAGAGGGTTTTTGTCAGGCCGGAAAGAGGCATGTATGTGACTGACCGGAAAGAGGAGCTGTGATGTATACGTAGCTATGGCACTACCATGGCGAGCACTCGCCGCGCGTACAGTTCCATGCTTCTTGGACGGGTTGAACAGGGCCGGTTTGCCCCGGGACAACGAGTGCATCAAGCGAGTGCGCAAGATGTATTCGCTGCGCCAAGAAGCTAGGGCAGTCAGCCTCGCAAAGAATCGCCTGTCCGACTGTAGGTCTGCCGCATCGGAATTGGTACGCCGACCATCCTCAACGGCATGGGGCCCTGGGAAAAATCGCGAGAAGGCGATTCTCCAAGCATGAGGAGTGGTCACTAGCGCATGAAATCGACGGGATACCAACGTGATGGCGGACAAGGATTGAGGTGGTAGATGCGATAGGATATGGGTGAGAACCTCTGGAAATCACAGTTAGGAATAATTGCGCCGTAGAATTGCAGGACACCTACCATTTGGAAATGCATCAAGAGATGTCTGCGACTGTCCGATAGAAGCTACCAAGCAAGATCCAGCAATCGCTGCTTCTCCGGGGGGAGTCCGAGCTTTCTCATGCTGGCTCGCTCGATCGGCCGAGGGCGGGGCATGGCGACCGTCGACCTCGTTCAACGACGCATGAGATTCGTGTTGTGTCGACATGCTCGGGACGTCTGCAGAGTCTCTAATCTCCTCTCGCGCGAGGAAATCAGAGACTTGAGCGTCGTCGAGGTCATGTCCATACTGGGTGGGACTGATAATGACTGGGTATGAGTCAACGGGGGTCGTATGTTGAGACACGGCAGTAGGCTCTGGTTGCATAAAAAGGTTTTAACGGAAATATGAGGTGGTAGCGACTGAGCCAGCGAAAAAGCTTGGGTCAGTCGAGTCAAGAAATGCGACGAAAAGGGGTTATAGGAAAGTGAGACGGCGTTGAAGAGAGAGAAATGGGAGAGAGCAAAGATGCCGAAGGCGAGGCAAAGTGGCCATCCCGCACATTAAGCAGATGCGGCTATCGCGGACAGCGGTCACGAGGGTACTTTAGTCCTATTGGCTGTTAGGGTTCACCGCTTGACTTTCCGCCTTTAACACACATCAATTCTGATGAGAATTGTCGCTGGATTTTATATATAGTTATTTTATATAGGAGCAGAACATTTAGCCACTTATATGGCTTCTATACTCAACAATATAAGATTTGGGTAATCTGTATGAAGTCTTTTCTAGTC